TTTAAAATTAGTAAAAGAAAAACTCCCGGGGTCTTGTTCGCTCGATAAGATCAAAATTTATATCTTTCGGTGCACATTCGCATACATCTATCCTCAAATTTTAATTTGACCCATTGGCCCATTTCGTGATAAAAATAGAAATTAATTCAGTTAGATCGCTAAAAATCGAATATATTGACTTACGATATCGAAATTAAAGACTTTCCTTCATGATATTCGTGATATTTCAATTTATTGTTAGAGTGAGCATGTTTGACATCCAGTTTGCTGTTATCTAAATAAAATTATCTAGATAATCATCATTTTACATTTATATAGATAATAAAAATATGTATTATCTATATCCGCATCTTAGATGAAAAGTGTTTTCTTTATTAAAGTATCGAGAATAATGTTTAGATAATTTGATTTAAAGCCACATAAAAATACTTGAGCAATAGAACTTAAATTGTAAGCGATAAAAAATAAAAGTATTAATATATATTTTTATATCCCTTTTATAATTAACATTTTTTTATAACTATATTTACATAAGCAGTCTTAAAAATTATTATTTAGAAGATTATCTAGATGAATCGCCATCTTTTATCGAGATATATTTAAAACAAAATTATTTTTATCTTATCTAAAATAAATTTACATATTTTTATCTATTCTTTATCTATAGCTATATATAATTCTAAAATCATCTAAGCATAACACTGCTAGCATTCCAAATCATCATCTACAACGCGAAAACGCGTGCGAAAATTATCCTTTTTATCGTGATATTTGTGTAACATGTAATGTCAAAGATGTAGTGGTTTTAGCAATAATTTTATTTATTTATTTGTTTTGTTGAAGAAATTTGTGTTTTTTGTATAACAAACGAAATATGAGATTCTAAGATAAAAACAATATAGAAAGCACTTATTTTTACATTATTCTCGAAGTAAAATTAAAAGCCAGGAAATTCTCTTATGACGGGAAATTAATGTGTAGACTAAAAAAGATCGTCTGTACGTCAGAAATGGCCGTATTGGCGAAAATGATTTTGTTAAAGGAAATTAGCGTGCCGCCGAGAGAAATTATAGCTCGGCAGTGTCGGAATCCGACATTCCGATTCGATGTCCGATACGAAAGTAACTTTGTCAACCACACGCGCGGTTACTGAAGTTGAAAACTCGTGTCATTCGATTAACTGGAAATTTCTAGAGTAAGGCGCCTGTAATTTAGAGAGAATCAAATAGTTTAATTACATACGTAAGCATGTCGATGATGTGATTAGCAAACTATTATTCGTGATAACTTGAAGCGCTAAGAATGAAGAAAATTTATTCATGTTTTTATGTAAATGTCAAAAAATTGAAACACGTGTAAGTTAATTCACTTCTATTGTAGAAGAAATTAAGTTTTAGAAATAAAATTATACAATATTTAAGGATATATCTAAATATGGTACAAAATTCATAAAAATTATGTACAATAAATCGCTTCCACTTTGATACTAAAGCTATCGAAATTTGGATTTAATTCATTAACGCATTTAAAAGTTATTGCAATTTGAACTTCTGCTAGTTTCACATTATAATCCTATGAAAATTTGTTATTATGATTATATTACGTTAAAAATATCGAAAAAATACAATAGTATCATGTATTTCAAATTTTTTTACATATATAATTGGAACTTTAAAAAATCATGTTGCAAAATTACATTAACATTTACTAAATTATTGTTTAGAAAAAAAAATAATTTGTTAAAATTTTGGTTTTTTCTCTTGTAACAACAATCATCACAATTCCATCTTTTGTTTTTAAACTGCAAACAGTCAATGAGATTTTATGAGCACTTTCGTTCTATCTTGCATTGTTTTAAATTGATACGAGAAGAATAAAACATGCCTATCAATGCGATCTCTTAAGAGTCGTATGAAAGACTATCAGATCTTTTTTATTTTTTTTTGTAAACAGTCTTAAATTTTAGTATTATCTCGACAAATATAACAAATATGTATACACTCGTAAATCTATAAGATTTATCCCGACTATCAAAATAGAAAATCTTAAAGCGTACAACAAACAAAAAGGAAAGATATACCAAAAACTTATTTCAATGTCAAAAATAAAATGAATTCTTTTATCATATTTTAATTAATCATCTTATATATATATGTTTATGTACAGGGTGTATCTAAATAAGTGCGAAAAATTTTAGATTATTTTTTATCGAAAAGGAGATTTGTTATATAAACATATACATCGCTTCCTGAGAAGTTACACTTTTTTATAAAGGGAGGGAAAAATTAAGTTTCTATTTTTTTTAATATTAATGTTCTTTTTATTAGTGTAAAATATTCATCAAATTTTATTTTTTTAATTTGTCTGAAATTTGAAAAAAAATATATATGTTTATATAAGAAACTCCCCTCTTAATTTTCGACAAAGAATTAGCTCTTATGTTTCACACTTATTTAGATACACCCTGTATATAAAAATTATTAAAGTATTATAATAAAAGTTAAAATTATTAAAGTGAAATCAAGGAAAAAATTATAGGTACATATTTATAAATAAAAGGAGTTTTTTTCCTATACATATATATATATATATATATATATATATATATATATGTATATATTCCTTTAAAAAAATGTCCTCCTTTGCAATGATAAAATAAATCCTAATACAAACGAATAGGAATCCGAACAGAGGAAAAAATAAAAATGTATTTTAGGAATTTTTTATTTCGTTCCCTAAATGTGTGTTATGTGTCGGTCAAAGTTGCAATGGTCACACGGTCACATTTTTCACGATTCCGATGGTGTATGACTGTATGTATGAACACGCTCATGTAATACACACGCGTCTATCCTATCGACGAAAATTCATCGACATCGAGAGACCAGCGGTGTACCAGCCAAAATTCCTAGAGCATACGGTAATAACAGGACGGTTGACATTCGTGTCCGCGCGTATTGTGTACGCTACATCCGTGATTCATGCTTGGATTTCCAGTAATTAATGCGGCGTTCGTTGCTGCAAAAGCACCGTGTCGAGATGCATAAGCTTGCATGACAGCGCTGCAAAAAGGGGCGAAATTATACCAGCATTTTTCAACACTATTCAAAATTAATCGAAAATTTTCTCGTCTCGCGTCTTCTAAGAGACAATTAAAGCGAAAAAAATGAAAACTAAAAGATAAACGAATGCAACCATGCGCTCTTTAGAATATCATTTTAACATAGGATATTTTGAAGAATGACCCAACTCTTTTGACGTATTTTAGAAATATTTGTTTGAGCACAAAATCTTGAACTGTCTTCTTTCAGAAAGTATAAAATTGAAATTATCATCGACCTATGTTTTAACTATCTTATATGTTTTTTTTTTTTTTACATTTTGAGATATTTAAACAAAAAATAGTACATACAATCAAAGTATTGTAGAAGCAAATTATTATATATTTCAGAAACATTTATTTTCTTTAGTCATACACCAGGTTCACATAAGTCTCTTTAGAAATTAAAAAATGAATGTGCTTTTATTTCTTCCATAAACCTGTTTAAGGAAGAGACCGCTAAAGATCTTTTTAAGTGAAGATCTTTTAATAATTTTCTGTAAACTTCTGTGAAGAATTAAAAGATGAATGTACTCTTCTTTTCTCCAGATAATTTCTTTAGAGAATAGGCTGCTAAGGATCTTTTTAAATGAAGATCCTTTTTTTAGTAATTTTCTAGAAACTTTTATGAATTTGAATCTCTACGAAATTAAAGACTAACAAGACGATTGACAATTCTCGTGTAGTTTCATGCGAATAGGAGCGAGTCAGAAATTGAGCCATTGAATATTTTTGCCAGAAAATGGTATTTAAAAGGAAATGATCAGTGTTATTTTATACACTATTCTGTACACTTGTATTAATTCTGACTGTGGTTCTTATTAACCCATTTCCTTCAATCTATATTATAGTACACAAAAACCTTCTCTCTAATTTATAAAAAGATAATAAAATAACAGTATTATACATTTAAACCTACAAATTAGCAAGAAGAAGTAGATACTTATCTATAAAACCAAACCATAATCCAATATTGCAATGAAATTAGCGACGACTGTAGAAACGTAAAATTAAATTGACTTGGAGATTTTTGGAAATTGTAAAATGTTTCGAAGAGATTTGACGAATCTATCGACTTTACGATTGTATGTAATCGGATATAAATATCTTGAAAGAATGTGATTCATCAAATGATTTCTGAGAAGCGATGTTGGGACTAAGTTTCAAAGTAATCCTCTTGACTTTTCTTACGAGCAAAGAGAACATCTTCTAATCAGCAGCCGCGCGGAATCTGTTGCTTGAAAACTCACGAGTTCTCTCACGAATAATTACAACTAAAGATCAACGAAGCTTGTTAATTATGAAGTGTAGTTACAAATATTTATGAAATAACTAATAAATTAAAATTGCGTAAAATTTCCAACTCTGATCAAAGAATTCATACTTATTTCCTCTCTATGGAAAAGAGAAAACGAAGAATAAGATTTCTCCAAGAACTACCCGCAATTTGACACAAATTTTCGCTAAGAGAGATATCGATGTTTGCTACAAATATTTACGTTATCGAGAAGTAAATAAAAAATGTTTTCATTCACACAGGAGGACGTGAATAAAAGTTTTTCTTCACATTCAGAAAGAGAATCTCGAATTATCTCGTTGATAAACGGGGAAAAGATTTATATCGTAAGAAATCTTCTCAAAAGCTACTTACGATTTAGGGGAGAGACGCCATTCTAAACCATATTCACAATATTTATCGAATCCTTGATACGTACGCAGACTTGATACTTCACTCAGGCAGGTTTGACCTGCGTTTCATTCGCAAAAAAAAGTCTCACGTACTCAATCCTTCAAAGAGAACCACTGCTGATTTCGACCACCGCGTTGATCCTCGCGTAATCATATTTCCATCCCTCGCATCATAGGATCTTTGGCAAAGTCCTATTGGGAGGCCTCTTACCTCAACAAAAGCGAGCACGAGAGTCGAGCAGCCTCGAAGAATAGGGAAACGGTAGCTGAACGATCCTGCTGGCTGCCTCGAGGGAAGCTCGCCCGGGCGGCATGGCTCCCACCTCTTCACCTCGATATCCTGCTGGCCGCTGTTGCCCGGTGAAGGATGTCCTCCTGTGTTCGCGACTAATTCCGAGCAACTTGTGCCGTTCCACTGTCATCCAACGTAGCAGTATACACCTTTACTCGGGTACGCACCCCGCGCAAATTCGCGAATAATTACTACCAGCACTCTCTCTCCCGCGTCAGGAAGTCAAGCCGCGTCTTTCGGGGAGGCTTTATACCGGATGTCGCACCACGTCGCGACGCGCCGGCTCTCATCGGATACGCGGACGCCGATTCGTTCGATTCGACGAGAGAAGAGAAGACCGAGAAAGGGGAAGAAAGAAAGAGATAGAGAGAGAGAGAGAGAGAAAGAGGGAAGAGAAAGAGAGAGAAAGAGAAAGAGAAAGAGAGAGAGAAGAGAGAGAGAGGATATGGTTGATACTATAGATGAGGGTTAGTGGTTGGAAGAGGTGTAATGATGATGACGGCGACAATGACAACGACGATGATATACCGTGTAGAGTCCGTATGACTGTCGACAGGATCAGAAACGGGGAGAGATGAGCACGGAGACCTGGGCACAGGCAGGACACGATGGCCCGGCCACTGCGCCGACACTGAGGCTACGCCGCAGCCTCGGCCTCCTGGTACTCCCTCTTCCTCGCTCTCTCATTCGGTCTCGTTCTTCCTCTAATCCTCTCTCTCTGACTTCCCGTCTCTATGTAACGCTCTTCCACCCCCGCCGCGAACCACCCTCCCCTCCCTGCGCCGTTGCTCGCGCGCTCTCTCTCTCGCGATCGCGCGTACGCGTGCCATGGTGGGTAAATTTCGAGGATCCTTTCCATGTTTGTGTTTCTTTCTCCTACCTTCTACGCTTTCTCTCTTTCCCCCTCTCTCTCTCTCTCTCTCTTTTGGAGTTGCTCGTGTGATTTATCATAATTTTTCGAAAATTTATCTTTTTATACAGTACCGAAAGATTGCAGAAATATTGCAAAACCTTTTCCTCTAAAATATTGTAATATGAAAGTTGCGATATGCTCATATAATTTATCATAATTTTTTTTTAATTTTTTGAAAATTTATATTTTTATACAGTACCGAAAGATTGCAGAAACATTGCAAAAACATTATACTAAAATATTCCCATACAGTGCAACAAGATTGCAGCAGCATTGTAGCAACATTTTATTGCAATATTACAATATTGCGAGAACATTGTGAAATGTTGTAGCAATCTTGCTGCAAGGTTGCAGCAACGGTAAAATGTCCGCTTTCAGAAATATTGTTCTATAACATTGCAACAATAATGCAATAAAATAAATATGTATTACTATTGGATTATTGGAAATGTGTTAAACACATGATCGGAATGTTCTGTACCTAATATTTTTTGCGTGAATTTTATTTTTATAATATTTCTGAAATGTTGCTGCAACGTTGTTTAAACTATATTGCAAATTCATGCCTATATAATATTTCTGCAATATTGCTATGCAATGTGCGATATTGCAATGTTGTTGCAATATTGCTGCAAACTTGTGTGCTGTATGGGTTGTAATATTGAAAGTTGCGAAATATCTCTACAATATTGTTACAAGATTGCAGCAACGTTGAAATGTCCGTCCTGGGAAACATTTGCATGAAACATTGCAGCAATATAGAAATGTGCACGGAAACATAAGAATAAAGGAATTAACGATTATAGAATAATATTTTTTATAATCTTTCTGAAATGTTGCTGTAACGTTCTCGTGAAATATTACATTTGTACGTTCCTATAATGTTTCTACAATGTTACATTGCAACTTGTAAGAATGCAACATTGCTGCAATGTAATTGCAATGTTCTGTGCTGTATATTTATCTTATCTATTTATCTTTTTATCTTATTTATCCCATATTATTTATCTGATTTATCTTTTTATCTTGTTTTTAGCTCTATATCTATATGTGTCACCCCCTTTCTTCTTTTTCTCTGCTAAATTCTTCCCTTTCCATTTCACGCGCGATTTCTCCCCTTCCATTGACTCTATTTCTAATTTTCTCTCTGAGTTCCCCTTTCCACCCCTTCTACCTCCCTCTTGTTCTCCCTTCCTATTCTCTTTCTTTTTCACTCAATTTCTCCTATTTCTGTTCCTCTTCTGTCGTCTGCCAAAAACTCCGTCCTCATATCTTCAGCCCCACCATTTTCGCGTCCACCACCATCTCTTTCTGCTTCTACCGATTCTTCCTCTCACTTTCTCTCAATTGATATCTACATCGCTTTTCAGCTACTGTGCTTCTCTCTCGTCTCGTTTATTCCCCTTTTTGTTAGACCTCTCGAAATGCTCTCTTTCCTCTTAAATATATCCTCCCTAACTTTCCCATCTCTCTCCTCTCTGTCTCTCTCTCTTCATCTTCGCTATTTTTCGAACATCCTTCCTCAACTTGGATATCCCTTCATCCCTTCCTTCACGCTTTTCGTCCTTCCCTTTCACCTTCCACCGACTCCCACTAACCATGTACGATTCCACCTCTCTTTCTTCCAGGATCTTCCGTCCCTCTCCCATCTGCGTCCCCACATTCTGAGTTTCATCCCTTTCGTTCACCCAGCGCGCATTCCCCTCCATTCTTACACTAGCGCAGCGATCTCGCGTTCTTCGCATCTGTCGCGTTCCACCACGAAAGTCAACCCTGTATCGTTAGAGGGTGCATTTTTTCTTCATTCTACCGGATAAAGTTATTGTATACAGGATGGTCCTGAAATAGTTGGTCAAAATCAGGGATTGGATTGGACTCGTCATAAGAACGAAGAAAGTTTCTATAAACGTTAGTCGAAAAACGCATCCTTCAAGAGTTACGACTCATTTAATTATCAGTTTTAAAGAACAAATACTTCTAAAGTTTTGATCGTACTTACTATAATTTGTGCTTTTTTAATTAATGTGTTCAATAAGTAGCTCAATCGAGTGATCTGTCATAATTGAAATATATATTATTATTGTTCGAACACGGATCCAATAGTTAAGGTTATGCAAGAAGGTTAAGACATCTCCTACAGCTACCCATGATGCATTGCGTAATTAGAAATGCATAGTGATATATTGATATTAGTTACATTGTAAAAAAAATACATAATTTAAATTAGAAAAATACAACACTATTTTATTAATTAATTTATTTATATGCCTTATTTACCAATATTTATATTTTGTATTATATTGAAAATAACATAACCTAACCCTTGTCAACCTGACAATGAGTAGCTGTGGAAGATGTCTGAACTTTTTCATGTATAACTTATGCATAAGTTTACTATCGGATGGAAAAGCTCTTTTGACACGTTCCCGAATCAATAAATAAAATAAAAATACTTCAATATTTATACATATATGTACGATCTAAAGAGAATACATTATTCGCGGATGGGATAATAAAGAGATAAATTCATAACAAGCTAATTAAAACTCAGTTGTACAAGAATATGATAATGTAAATATGCAGAACTGCGGATCTTAAAAGGAAAATAATAGATTATTAATTATTAATTTATAATAATAATTGTAATAATATATCACATAGAAACACTCTTATATGTAAGATAATTCCATTCAAGAAACATGCTGTAATTAGAACTGGTGCGGAAAAATCCCGCATTATGCGAAAGTGCCGGCGGTAATGTTAGAGAGCGTATTTTCGCGCGGACTTTAACGAATTAATTAAACGTAACCTACGAACCACAAACGCGAAAATAATATCGTCCGGTTTTTCACCTGACCGCGAATTGCGTTCACTTGAAAATTGAAAAGCTTCAAGAGCACGTCGACGAATACTCTATCGTCCTTCATGCAGTCGCACCATCTTTCAACGTAAAATGTATCACGATCCTCAATCAAATCCGCTATTCGTCAACCCTTTATACTCTTTTTTTTCTTCCTTCCTTTATTATTTAATTTTTTTCTTTGTGTCATTATCAATAAATGTTTTAAATTATTATATAATTACATATATATTCTAGCAATTAAAGCGCAATATGCAATCTAAGATTTTGAACAGTAGTGTGCTTAGATGATTTTACAATTAGCTAGATAAAAATGAGATAAAAATATGTATATTTATCTTAGATAAGATAGAGATAACTTTGTTTTAAATATATCCAGATAAAAGAAAAAATTATATAGCGATTCATCTAGATATTTTCCAGATAATATTACTTTAAAATCGCTTATGTAAACACGGTTATAAAAAAAATGTAAATTATAAAAGGGATGTAAAAATATATTTATACTTGTATTTGCAAGTTTTTATCGCTTAATGCTTAAATTCTGCTAATTAATAATAATATTTAAATATTTTTATATGCTATGCCTCTAAAGCAAATTATCTGAACATTCTAGATAATTTAATAATTTAATTTAGTAGATATAATTGATTCTAGATAATTTAATAATTTAATTTAGTAGATATAATTTATTCTAGATAATTTAATAAAGATAACATTTTCTATCTAAAATGCAGATATATAGATAATACATATTTTTATTATCTATATAAAGATAAGATGACGCCAAAACTTTATGTAAATAATTATCTATATAATTTTATCTAGATAACAGCAAACACTAGTTCTGAGATTTATTTGATAATAATACTGATAAAAGATTTGAGGATGAAAGTGCATAAACCGATAAAACTCGAGGAAAAACAAGTAAAGGAAACGAGTAAAATTGTCGGAAGCTATGATTTTAATCGATCATTAACTCCGTCTTAATTTTACAAATATACGAACTCATCGGTTCTTTTATATTGAATGACCTTACAGTTTCATTTATAATGATTGTGAGTGAACCAATTTAGACAGCATTGTTATCTCGAACGAATCGACTTTTACGAGATTTATCTTATCCATCTTCTAGCTCGGAGATCTGTGCGCAGTTTTCTCTTTTCTTCTCTTTTCTATCCATCCTATTCTTTTCTTGTATTTTCTACTTACCCCAAGCAACCTTGCGCTGAAGTAAACGTTTGCGGATAACGGAACGGAATTGAGTCCTCCGTACTTATTTAACTGCAGAATGGATGGAATTTTTGTAATAGAGTCTACAATACCGATTTCTTAATTTCTTTATACAAATTGATAGAAATTGACAAGCCAAACATTTTTGAACACATTAACAAACATCACGTTTCATCACAATATTATTACACTGATCAACACTAATTTTATTGCCAATTATATTAGATTTATTTTAGGGTAACTTTCGCTGATTTTTTGAATATAGTATTGATTTTCCTAACTCTAATTTTTTAGATAATAAATGCCCTATGAGAAACATAAAAAATGCAGAAAATATAATAGCCTACTCCTATCTCAAATTATCTCAAA